TGCACAGTGAATGCTAATTGAAACTAAATATTTTAGTGTTCCTTGGGGCATCTTTGCAACAATTGGCCCTGCGTATGCCTCGGAGCTCTGCCCTCTGCGCCTTAGATCGTATCTCACGGCCTATACGAACTTGTGCTTTGCAACTGGGCAGTTTATAGCTGCTGGGGTGCTTCAGAGCTTTATCGAACAACAAGATGATTGGGCATGGCGCATAACCTTTGGACTTCAATGGATGTGGATTCCTATCCTTGGAATTGCAGCCTTCTTGATGCCTGAATCCCCTTGGCATCTTGTACGCAAGGGCAAATATGAAATGGCCGAAAAGAGTGTAATTCGGCTCATGGCAGAGCATGAGAAAATCCATTCCAAATCTTTGGTTGCTCTCATGATCCACACGAATGATCTCGAGCGCGCTGCTTCACAGGGAACATCGTACTGGGATTGCTTCAAAGGTGTTGACCTGCGTCGTACAGAAATTGCTGTTATCACATTCCTGGGCCAAATTTCCTGCGGAGCTCAGTTTGCCTACTCAGCTACCTATTTCTTCCAACAAGCTGGCCTCAGCTCTGAAGAAAGCTATAAGCTAAATCTTGGTGGCACTTCCATCGCATTCTTAGGAACAATCACTACATGGTTCCTTATGCGCCGCATTGGTCGTCGTATCCTTTACCTATCGGGTATGTCATGCATGGCGCTATGGCTTTTTATCATTGGAGTTCTCGCAGTCAATACTTCCAATCCAAATGTTAAGTGGGTCCAGTCAGTACTTTGCCTTATTTGGCTCTTGACATTTTCTCTCACTGTTGGACCAATCGGCTGGATTATACCAGCTGAGGTGTCATCTACTCGTTTGCGCTCCAAGACAATTGTTCTGGCTCGCAATGGCTACTACATGGCACAGATTCTCGCCAATGTGATACAGCCTTACATGATGAATCCTCTGGCCTGGAACTGGAAAGGTTTGAAGCCATTCGTTTTCATTTCAGAACCGAAAGTTGTTCCAACTTTCCTTATTGTCAATTAACTGATATAATAAATAGGAAAAACAGGATTTTTCTGGTTTGCCTTCGCCTCATTGACTGTCGTATGGGCTTTCTTCCGTATGCCTGAAACTAGAGATCGTTCCTACGAAGAGCTTGATCTTATGTTTATGGCCAAAATCTCCACCCGGCGATTCAAGAAGTATCATGTGGATGCTTACGAAAATGGAGAAAGCCGCATCCAAGAGACATAATCGGACCAGAATGTACTAATCGTGCTTGGATGGGTCTATATAACTAGTATGGAGGGACGGTGTCCGTCGTGATTAGCGATTGGGGGTTCGAACTTGAAGGTTGCTAAAACATTACTCTGGTTATTTAGTAATGCAAATCCTTTATAATCAACGAGTGTGATTTTGTTCTACATAATTGGAAAAAAAAGATCCGAGGTTTGGGGGCCAGGTAGAAAAGGTGGTTGGTCTGCCCTTTCTGTCAAGCATCACCCGCTTCGTTGGTCTTAGCTAGGACCCAATCACTTAGGTGGCTGCGAACAAGATGTTCGATTGGCCGTCACAAGAGACTAAGGCCCCCCTGTGTGTGATATGTTACAATGTCGATCAGGTTGCATCCCCTCAAACCGGAAGCACCGGCATTTGAAGGAGGTCGGCTAGCTGGCATGAAACTAGCTTTCCATCTTTTGGCCCCAAACAGAAACCATTGCCAGTCAAAAACCCCGGATTTGCCTCCCCAACATTTGCATGCACCTCACCGGTCATCTGGAACAGGTCAAGTGCTACGGAGTACTGAAAGAACGATCTCCGGACTTCGACCCCGTGGATGGAAAGGGACTAGCCGCGCGTCCTCCGCACTTCGGGGGCCGAATAGACGGGTGTTACCGACTGCCAGTGCCGATATTCACCCGGGGTACCACAGTCACACAAAATAAAAACGGCAAGCGCATAAAACAATAAGCCGTGTTCTCCTCATTCATGGAGTCTCCTGGGGCTAGTCCGCCTCATGACGGGTGGATGTACGTTCCAGAACACTACTATATCCGGCACTATTCTCCATCTAGCATAGACTCCCGAATCCGACAGAAAATGGCAGATGAATTGAACGACTCTTGAGTCTTCACCCCTCACCAAGCTAGAGTGAAAAGAAAACAAAGTCCGTTTCCGAAATACGATCCTAGCTTTCCAACCTTTGGGATCCACCTCGAGCGTCTAGAAATTTTCCTTCATTTTAATACTGGCACCCCGGCTCGGCAATGTTCCTGACTTCATTGTTCTTGTCCTTAGATTTTAGCAATGTTCAGTTCGCATCAACCAAAAATCAAACTGAAGGATTACTGGTGCATTGATTCAAATCTCCGCACCATGTCCATACGCCCGCATGCCCGTCAGCACTACAGAATCCCGAGCATGAGGGCCTAAGCGATTGCGGAATGATCCTGGTAGTTCTCGGGCACATGGCTAATCAAATCAAATACTTTGGTTGTGGCGTGCGGAAACGAGGCTTACTGGCTACATGGCTCGGTATAGGGGCGCCCAGCAAGCGCCCAGGGTTAGCCAGCATTGCTTCTCTACGACCACCAAAGCTTGGTGGCGTCTTCTAGTCCCATAGATCATGTAGATTTTGCTCTATGCTGGGGATATAGGCCTTCCGACTTGTGTATTCCCCCGAGCCTAACCCATAGTATCGTTAGCATGCTATCTTTTGGGACTAGCAGACAGGATTTCATGATTCAGAACCCTCGTCGCAAATTGACTGACTCGTACTATTGGCTCAGTGATGAGGAGCTAGTCCGTGGGTAACTTTAGCCTGGAGCACTTGATCAAAGAGGTCAAAAGTCACTGAGAAAGGGAGATGGGTATATAACATTGCTGAACTCCCACCCCAGAGATTCCCTTTCTGCTCGTTTTGATGACATACTATTCCATACCAACTTAATTTATCTTGTCTCTCTGTCTCTCTCAAAAGATGGCGGTCAGTCAGTCGGTGGTTGGCCGTAACAATGCGGAGAAGCCTCATGGCCTTGTCGGTATGCTGAAGAACCCCTATGTCTTCGCTACCTGTCTTTTTGCCTCTCTGGGCTGCACTATGTACGGATACGATCAAGGTGTGATGGGTCCCATTCTTGTGATGGAGAACTTCAAAAACCACTTCCCCTACTTTGAGAACTCTACAATTCAGGGTTGGTTGGTAGCGGCCTTAGAGCTGGGTGCATGGGCTGGTGCTCTGATTAATGGTGTTCTCGCCGATCGAATCTCCCGAAAGTACGCTATGATGGTGGCCGTCGTTATCTTCACATTGGGAACTGGTCTACAGGCTGGTGCCCAGACTCCAGCATACTTTTTTGCTGGCCGTATCATCGGTGGTGTCGGTATTGGTATGTTCAGCATGGTTATTCCTCTATACCAGGCCGAGATTGCCCCACCCGAATTGCGTGGATCTCTCGTCTCTCTGCAGCAACTTTCAATCACTATCGGAACTACCATTGCTTTCTGGTTGGACTATGGAATGCAGTATGTCGGCGGTGTTGCCTGCAACCCCGAAGGAATCGCCAACCCCTACCTCGCCGACGGTACCTACAATACGGCCCAAAACCATGGTCACACTTGCCTAGGTCAAAAGACCATCTCCTGGCGACTACCACTGGCATTGCAAATTGTCCCTGCCTGGATCCTGTTCTTTGGAATGTTCTTTTTCCCATTCTCCCCTCGCTGGCTCATGATGAAGCACCGAGATGAAGAAGCTCTTTCTTCTCTTTCAAAGCTCCGCCGGTTACCCGCCGCCGACCCAGTTGTTAGAGCCGAATTCCTCGAAATTAAGGCTGCTGTTATGTTCGACGAGGAGACTGAACGTGAAGCCGTTGGCTCCGGTGGGGCACTTGCTCCCTGGAAGGCATTGTTTGCCCCCAATATGATCAAGCGCCTCATGGTCGGTTGCTGTACCATGGTTTTCCAACAATTTACTGGTATCAATGCAGTCTTGTATTACGCACCCCAGATCTTCGGCAGTTTTGGCTTTTCTTCCACCAAGACAACCCTTCTGGCTACTGGTGTGACTGGTATTTTGCAGATCATCTTCACCTTGCCCTCTGTGCTGTGGTTGGATAAGTTTGGCCGCAAGACATTTTTGATTGTTGGTGCCGCCGGCATGTTCTTGTGTCACATTGTCGTTGCTATTGTCGAGGGTCTGTATGAAGATAAATGGAACCTGAACGAAGGGCTTGCAAAACCACAGGGATGGGTAGCAATCGCCTTTATTTGGCTCTTCGCCGTGAACTTCGCTTACTCTTGGGTACGTTGAATATTGATTCTAACCTTTGGGAATCGTCACTAATCAGTTTTCATCATTCTCTAGGTCCCGTTGCTTGGGTTTTGGCGCAGGAAATTTTCCCTAATAGCCAGCGTTCCCGTGGTGTAGCCATCGTTGCATCCACCAACTGGATGTTCAACTTTGTCATTGGATTGACGACTAAGGACATGTTGGGCACTATGAAATATGGTACTTACATTTTCTTTGCTGTCTTCAGTGGATTGGGTGGCCTATTTATCTGGAAATTTGCACCGGAAACCAAGGATAAGACTCTCGAAGAGCTGGACATCTTCTTTGGTAAAGGCATGGACAGTATTGCTGAGGCCGATCGTCTTCGCATGCAGAGAATCAACGAGACACTAGGCTTGGCTGGTGTAGAGAACCTTGAAGATCTGAAGAGAGAGAAGGAGATCACTGCGGAACAGGTCGAACTCTAAACTATTCAATTATGAACCAGGCTGGCATATAGTTGGATGATAGTTAGTATCAGTAGCAGTTCTTGTTAACTCTCAACAATCCTATTAATTTTTAAGTTTGTCTCGGACAATCAGAGATATAATTGGACTTGGAATGAGTTTCTGTATTAAGTCTCTGTAAAACATGGCGGAGTTTGCTCATAGAAAGGAGAGTGCATAATTAAATCTGTTTGTTTCTGGAATTCGAACCGCCTTCCCATACATTCAACAGTGAAATATAATCTCATTTTAAGTGTTCGACGAAAATTGAATGTGTAAAGGTCGTAGGAAATATCCTCGGTTTCCAAGCCCAGAGCATCACTGATATCCACACTGGTTCTTTTCTGCTAGAACCAAGTCCAGAGATTTCGTACTGAAAACTGAAATGGACTGTATTTGTATGTGAAGCTGCGCGACGAGGAGTCCGAGCCGCCGTGATTCTTTCCAAGTGGACAGTAAAAACTTGTAGTCGGACCACTGGTATGTCTTCGAGCTTTGCTTTCTGATTCAAATGGTATAGACACAATTCCACAGAAGGAACTTCGCCTTGGACAACAGTTGTTCCAATGGTTGTTTTAATATTGAATTTAACTTTTGTACCAGTGCCCTCGGACCTCAATGCCAAGTGAAATCTATCACTGACCGTCAAGGGGCAGCTGTTATCTTCTCCGTATGGCAGAGGTGTATTCCGAAAGGAGAAACTGTCTGTAGTAGTGACAGAAGTGATATGAGGTGAAGGTTCAGACCGGTATGTGTCGAAAGGTAGAACACATGATCTCCTCTCCTGTCGCGTTCCCGAAACCCATTTGACATCCAGGCGATATTCTATGGTAGCAGACAGGATTGAGCCACCAGTAAATGAGAGTGACGGTGGAAGTGATTCCAAAGCAGCATGACGACCCCAGCTCTTAGGGCTTCCATATTTTGCCGACTCTGGCCAAATTGACTGTCCCAGGGCATTCTGCGTCTTGGAAGAAAAAGTAAATAGAAATGGATATCCTCCAGCTGGCATATCGGTGTAGCATGAAACCCCTTCATAGAGTGTTATCCGTGATATCATGAGGAATTGGGTGTTTCTACTGTAGTCCCCTGGCCCGACACTCCATGATTTCAGCTCAATCATCGATCGCCCCGAGAAAACAATACTGAGAGTTCCCTGCTCTCCGTCGGTGCCCTGGTCCACTTCAACCTCTCCTCGAACGAGGGCGCCCGGAAGATAGCCTCTGTTGGGACAATCGAGATGTATCTCCATTCTGAACTCCAACAGCTCGTAGGGAGTGGAGCGAGCGAGCGCCCGCCCCGCAATGATGACGACCAAGACCAAAAAAGCTGGGCAGTCTGGGCAGTCTCTGAATGTTTGCAGTTTCACGTTGCGCTTAGTCAAGCACTTGGGGGCGGAAATGGAAGCTTTGAGAAAAGTGCGTGATTTTGTTTGCGACTCGGAGATGTTTGAACTCGGTGGATATAATGGTATCGATTCTGGCAATTAGGTGCAGTTTTTCGGCTTAGCACATCTAAGTTATTTTAATAGAAAGTTGCCGTCCCGGAAATAAAACTTTGCATCTACTACTGGTATTATCAAGGCAAGAAAGACATCGATTGTTTCTCAAAAGCATATAATCAAAAGGTTCACCGGAATATGTGAAATTGCTCTTCAGCTCTTAATCTTCAGCTCTTAATCTTCAGCTCTTGTTTTCAACGTTAGAAGGCTGTGCCCATCATTTACTTAATCCATTACAATGGTCATGGTACGAAGGACTCATACATAAAACACTAAGACCAACCTTATCAAAGAACGGGTTTCTCAAGGACGCTCTTATATCTGAGAGTAGCTGAAATACTTGGAAAGTTTGTGTGGATGCTTTTAGATCAGACTCAGATGTTTATATTATTATGTGAAAGTGATGTCTAGCTTTTAGCCGACAAGTCAGCCCTAAGGAGAAAATCTACTATGATATAATCAAGTACCAACTTTAATCTCAACTAACGGAGTAAAGCCTTTTTTCCATCAATTTTCTCCGCCCGCCTCTATTCGGTGTATTTTCTTAAAGCTTGCAATGCTTAATGAAGGCTTTTTTGTATTTGAGCCATTGGTCATGGCAGAAATGATTATCCGGGTTCATAATTCAAGTTTACCTTCGGTCAGCGGCTGGAACTTTTTGCCATTTCGGGTATACCAAAGCTAGTCTTCCTATTTTGTATATGCAGTCCAGTGTCTCTTATCTTTACTCTTATCGGTGGAGGTGCAATATCAACCTCATTCAACTGCCCTAATCATGTTATGGAGTAATTGTTGCACCCCATGAAAGCAGGGGGTCCCCAAGTGGGACTGCGCAGGAGTGTGGGCCAAACTCATATCTCGCCCTACTGAGAAGAGTATAAGCTAAGAGCTAACTATGGCCTGCAAAGAATTCTTCGATAAGAGAACCATCGCCAAATGGAAGTAAATGATCCTATTTCAAACATTATTTTCTGCCCAGGCCAATCTGAGGCTCGGGTCTGCATTTTCTCTCCAAACACGGAAATGGTCGTCAAGCCACTACGGTCTACCTGAAACGGTATTCCTTGCGTATACCGTCATCATCTTTGGATTGTAGCTTCCCCGCTTTCATGATCCGAGCCTGATGTAGTGTTACACAAACTAACATGGGCATGGGAGAGGCTATCATCGTTAAAGTCGCCCGGGCGCACAGTGTTAGTATTTATTGACCTTTTTCCTGCATTCGAGATATGATATTTGTATAAAATTCTCCTTAACATACCACGGCCCTCAAACCATTCGTCATTATTTGGCTACTTTTCTGCCCATGCCAGACTTGAACATCATCAAGATATATAGCTTGCCCTACCAGCCCCAAAGCGCAATAAGTAACTCGCCATGGATTTTCTCAAAAGCCTAGATAGCACCTCGCGGGTTGGGCTCGTGTTGATCGCTGCCAGCGCAGTCTACTTCATTCTCAGTCGTTTATCCAACAAATCCCTCTTGAGCAGAATATCCCTACGCGGCCGCAAAGATTCCACAGCCAGAACTCCTCCACGATCCATATCTCCAGACCGAAAGCAACCCAATAGCACCACATCACCAACAAGCTATAACCATGCCCTTCCGCCGTCGCGTAGAGAAGCGCTTCTCCAGCAGAAAGGGGCTGTTATACGTTGGAAAGAAGTTGATGAACCCGAAATGCGCCAGAATCTCTTGCCCATGACAGCCGACTTTAGGACAAGCCCAGGAAACTTATACACACCGACAGGCTTTTCTGTCGATGACGTGAAAGCCTTAGGAGATTTTCCAGACTATGCAACACTCAGTGGCGTTCCACTCCCCCAGCCCTACCCTGAACATCAACTCGAAAAGGCATTGCCCCGCCCATATCGCCCTTTCCGATGGTCGTATCATCAAACAATGTGTATGTTTTCGACATCCTTGTCAACCATGAACAATGAACGGAATTAACTGTATAAATTTAATTGATAGCGTTGACAAAGCTGGAAACGGATTGGTGGATCGAGCTTGAGAGCACGTACAAGAGCCGCATTACTCAACGTAAAGAGCTTTTTGCCAAAAATGGAAAGGCAGTTCTAGATGCCCTCCCTGGCTCCGAACTTGCATGCAAAGAGCTCATGGAAATGGTCCTGCAATACATATGTACCAGATACCCGCAGTATTTCACACTAGTGGACAAGCGGATATTGAAGAATCGCATCCTCGACACTGAGCAAGATATCCGGGCCAAGCCACCACTTGAAATTCTTCTTGACAATGTCCCGGAGGACTTTGCACTCATGTTGAGGGATGACGAGACGGGATTTTATTTTCTGCGTGCGGCTATAATCTGTTCGGCACTTGGTTGGAATGTTGCCTCCAAAATCGGCCGTCAGTTGCACCAAATTCATGCGCCGATCCCAGACTATAAGGAAAAGATGCAATTTTCAATGGACCGGTAAGTTTCCTTCTTCCGATTCTGAGGCTGAACGAGGGATGATCTGACTGAATTTTCTTAGTTTCTTCACCAAAATGCCGACAGAAAAGCCGATTCAACGAGGCTCCTGGGGCCTCGAAGTCGGGGAGCCACTGTACATGCCCCCAGGCGATCCACACGAGGAGCTTCGGAAAACTCAAGACCCAAATTTGACAATCGACGATTGCAACCTGCGGGTAGACTGGCAGACACTTCGTCGTCTTCCACTCTCTGCGTCTGTGGTTTTCAACTTCAAGGCAGTGTTCAGTCCTATTACAGAATTCCGCGATGAGCCTGGCGTCCCGGCACTGGTAGCAAAGGTCGTGACAGAGGGAAAGAGGAACCTCATGGAGTATAAGGGTGTATGGCATGTCCAGCATGTTATTTTACCTAAGTTGGAAGAGTGGGCAAGGGAGCAGGAGGAGAAAGGTCTTACACCCAAGGATTGGGAGGTGGCCACGCTGGATGATAGTCCGTGGTACGAAGGCTGGAAAGAGAAGTGGCATCGACAGCAAGGATTTTGATATGATAGAGATGTATTTTCAATTCGATAACAAGTCTGAATACTCAGATATGACAATTTTCATGCTTATAGCGAGTCGTTAACTGACGGCCATACCCAGGTAGCCCTTTGATGCAATTTTGGACGTGACGGGGGAGTATGGTGGATGCGAAGCCGGTGATGCAATAATCAATACTTGCTTGAGCTTCGTCGTGGGCCAGCCGCTTAGAGTTGGGGTGCTTCACTTCTCCGTCAGGATCGCCTGCCACTATTGGCATACCCCTATTTAGCCCTAGACAGATGATGGATGCATTCGTGATTCTGAGTTTATCAGAATACCAGCTAGGCTTGCACTGGATGCAGGTGTCGAGCAAGTGTCTCTGTGAGGCCCAGGGAGTATCCACCTAGGGTTTATGTGAAAAGACAAGAATAGAAGGTCGATGTTCAGTCGTCTTCCTCGTTTCCCTTTCCAGAAGATTCTCTGTCACTGTTTTCATGCCCCTCGTCGCTTTTTCCATCCTCGCTATCCCGATCAAGTTCCTCCAATTCTCCCTCGAGAGGGCTGACTCGCTCATCCAACATATCCAGGTCCTCTAACTGCTGTCGCGGAGGTAGCTTCCATAAGCTGGTACCGCAGACACGGTCCTTAGTGAGAAGATCGTCGACGAATTGATCCATATATGTTAAGGCAAACGTGTCTCGTATCCTGCGCTTGATTTTCCGGTAGTCAAGTAGAAGCGGTTCCAAGGTCTTGTAAACCTCTGCAGCGTCGAATGTGATTCGAACGTAAAAGGCTGCCAGAGCACGGAGATACTTGAAGTCACCACGATCCTTGACCACGCCATTGTCTTCGCCTTCGTCGTCACTGCCGGGGTCGGAGAAATTTAGGTATTCGAGGATGACATTGCGATCGGGGTTGAGCTGCAGAAGCTTGAAGGCGAGGCAAAGGAAAGGCGTGGGCTTTTCGGAGACACCGTATGTACCACCAATAGATGACAGCTCAACTGCACGATCGCACAGCGTAGCAGCGTTCAATCCGAAGCACTGTTCTTTCCAATAATAAGAATCCGTGATGCGGTCGCGCACAGCTTTCTCGAAAAGGGTGATCGGGTTGACACCTCGCACCAACGGACCACTGTATCCGCGATTGTCGAGAAACGAGCTGGCGTCAGCGCGATGAGAGGTCATGACTGCAATGGCCGGAAGGTTGGAGTGGGGAGTGGATAGTTCAACGGAGCTGGAAATTCGATCAAGTATACTGCCAATTTCTACCGCTCACGTTCACGCTCACCGCCAAGCCTTTCCTTATCGATAGTCGCGCGGCCAACCCGACCCTGAACCCCGTAAACAATACTGATGTCATGCGCGACTCTAGGGCTGACTCTGAGACATCGACAAGTGGAAGGCAAGCCATGCATGGTTGACATTCCAATCCTGTCAATCTCTCTTTCTTCATCCATGTAGGACCTCTTTTCACCATGGTTCTCCTCAGTTCGTCCACGGTATCCACCATCCTGTCGATGGGAGTAGTGTGTATCTTCACATTACTACTATTTCTATCCGGATACGTGCTGCAGCAACAATCAGTAAAAAACATTCAGCATGCCATTCGCCCTCCATCTGATCCAGCTTCTGAGTCAAGACACAGTTATCCGGGATCAACATTCCAGAAGCGGGATTCATCGGATTCAGATCTAGGTTCAGGCGACGATCAAGACATCCCACGAGCTAGTCGAGATCGCCATCCAGGATCGCGGGGCAATTTCGCCTATCTTCAGCTATTATCCGAGCCTGATCCATCAGACATTTGTTCCGCAGTGCTTTTCTTTAAACAGCTCGCGACAAATGGTACCAGCGTTCAGGATCGTCTGTTTATGTATCCGCAGGAATGGGACCGCATGTCAGCGAAACAGTTGGGCAAGTCTGCATCAGCGGCCCTTTCGATTCTCCGTGCAGCCAGTATCAAATATGGGATTTGGCTACTACCAATCGATATGACTGCTGCTACCTCTGCGGGATACTCCGCAACCAACACGAAGGTCTTACGTCTGGGTCAAATACAATTCATGCAGTATGACAGCGTTCTTTACGTTCAGACGCCTGGCATGATTCTCGATACAGAAATGCTTGATGAGGTGTTATTTTCACGGACATTGCCTGGCCGGCATGATAAGAATAGGCCGGAGTCCTTCAACAACGAAGCATGGATTCCCATGCCTCTTCGCGCGAACCGCGATGCCAACCTTCCCCCGGTCTACCTGATAACAGTCAACAACTTGGGCGGTGGGAGTATTGAAACGCGGACACATATTCCTAACATACATCTTCCTGGATTCGGGGGCCTTGTGGCTGGACCTTGGGGCGTGAAACCGGAATCAGCTAATGGTGAGCCGGTTCAACAGCCCGCCTATGTATATTTTGAGAATGACCGCGACGGTCATGTTAAGTGGGCAGGAAATCCCCTTTTTGGCCCATGGCGATCACAACAAAGCGAGGTTTGCCCTGGGCTAGATTTTGATGACGACTATTATCATGATGAGATGAGATGAGATTATCTTTGGATTTCTTTTCAATTCGGTCTGATGTGAGCGATTGTACATTCCGAAGGATTGGGTCACATGGCCATGGCGTTTATTTGGTTGAAACTCGAGATATCATCTATGATCAATACGATATTGAAATGCATGAATTCATTATATTATTCATTCATTCAGTTCTAGCGTAGTTCGATGGTATTCTTTTCTTAATATTTAGCAAAGGACTATCAGCTATGAGAAGATAGTCCGTGACAGATCATCCCAAATCATACACTTCGTAGATAAGTCAAATATATCGTCGAAATCCCGCGTAAATACCACCTCGTCCACTTGGGAAACTACTGGGGTACTCAACTACTGGGGTACTCCAATCTCGTATCCCAGGAGTACCTCTGTGGTATTGCCTTCCCAGCCACGGTTTCCACTGGTAGAGATCATAAAACGACATGCATTATCAACAAACAGCTGTGAAATGGTGCCTGTTCGATGGCCGGGAATGATGAGGAACGGCACGGTGGAATGCCGGGAAGATTGCTCATGCTGCAGATCATAGAGCCGGAGGATATCATGGGAAGCACTAGGAGGTGTTAGTAGATGACGAGGAGTGAGTACAAGAAAAAAAAACTGACCAGACAAGATGGCGGCCATTTGGCATAGCCTTGAGAGCAGTCACTGGACCACTGCCTTGCGGAAACTTGAACGTGCGTTCAGCCTCTCGAAGGCCCTTGTGTAGACTGAAATTCCTCAACAGTGCCATTGCGCCGCCCGGCATATATGTAGTTTCCATCAGGAGACCAGCATGCATTCATGCACCAAGGGGGGGCATTACGGGGGCTGATTCGAGCAACAGGATCGGGTTGACGTCGATCCCATATCCGGATGGTGCCATCAATTGATGCCGCAAGAAAAGTTGTGTCTGCTCCTATTGTCTGCTCAGATTGCATGGGTTGAGGGAAAACCTGGTCTATGGAGATTTTCATTTCTTCGGCCTTGGGCAGCCCATTCACAGCTGGCATTGCCGGTTCTGCGGTGATCTCTGTTTTGGGTACCTCGGGTTTGCTTTCAGAATCATTCGCGGGAACGGATTCTGCTTGGAGTACGGGTTCGGGCTCGGGCATTTCAGCATCGATGTCACCGGGGGCATCAGCATCAGCAAGGACGCCATTAGCCATCGCACGACCAAATTCATCATCTTCGTCTACCCCAAATACACCCCCAGATGGCTCTCCTCCGTCTGCTGCTCCGCCATCTGCATCTCCAAAGAGAGAATCCGCACCACCGAATAGCGAGTCAGTTGGTGAGCCCGCCTGCGGGTTCTCGGCCCCCTGGGATCCAGTATCTTGGGCGGTGTCCATGCCATTGAATTTGTCTAGGCCACTAGCCTGGTAATTCGACGAGTATGTACCGTTGGGTAGCGACGGGTCGATAGTATCTGATGGAATTGGCAAGCTGGAATCTGGCCGGATTTGTACCGTAGAGATCTGACCTGCACTTCCACCGAATGCACGTCGTGCCTGGCCGGTATTGAGATCCCAATCAAAAACACGCTTGTCCCAGCTACCAGAAAGCAAAGATTGTTCATCGGACGTCAAATTTAACGAAGAGACTGCCGATGTATGCTGTCGCAATTGGATGACTTCTTTTCCCTCGTCGTGCCGCAATGTCTGCAACCGAATCGCACCAGATTCTAGACCGGAAAGTAGCCAGAGGCCCTCGCTCTGTGCGGCTAGAGAATAGACCGGCGATAAACTATTACCATCCATGTTCTCCCAGTATGTCATAAGGACACCCGCCTTAACAACACTATCGACAAATGGATGTCGTTGCGCCACTGTCAACATGAGCTTGCTGTTGATAGATTCGGCCCAGTTGAATTTGCGAACAAAGCCATCCGATCCACCTGTAAACACCCAACGCATATCTGCCGTCGCCGTGATCGCATTTATTGATGTGCTGTGAGGAGCAGCGGTGGTAGGAGCGATATCATAGGTCCTGGCCGTCAAGCATTCGGGGCGAACGCTAGGATGGTGAATAGAAAAGGATTCCAGCATCGAAGTGTCTCCGTTCCCCGGCGATGTCATATTCGTTGTATCAGGGTTCTGTTGCGAGGATACTCCGGCGCCTTCCGAGGTTTGACTTGCGTTTGAGGGGCTGTCCGGATCTTGATCTTGATCCTGATCCTGATCCTGATCCTGGTCCTGGTCCTGGTCTTGATCAGCGTCCGCGTCGGCATACTGTTCATTGTCGTTGTCGTTGTCATTGTCGTCGTTGTTGTCCCCATCATTATCGTCAACGTCGCGCATTGTATCGTCAATCTCATTGTCGGAGCTTCCATCTTGAGAACCTAAAAAGACCATGTCAGGCACAGGCGCAAAGCGCGGGAGCGGGGAGCGAGTGGTAGCAACTGACCCGCTAGATCACGGTCCTCATCCTCCTCGAGTGACGCCATGAAGCTTCGAGGCTGGTCGCCAATCCCAAGCAAATGTCACGATTCAATATGCGGCCCCGTCCTTTTCAATTGCCAATTGGGGGGGCAGGCAGTCTAGCTGCAGTCTGGTGCGGAGAGCTTCGGCGCAGATGGAACCCTGGTCCCACCGCGGTGCAGCAATAAGGGCTTGGTGATGGCGAGATTTAGTATAGTTGAAGCGAAAGTCACTGTATATGATGCAGTTCTAAAGGCCAAGTAGCATCAGTCGACCCAGACGAAGGTCCTTCAACGTGATGACAGTGAATAAATGAATGCGGATCAGACCGCGCAAGGCGGTCTCGGTCTCCCCTTCTTTCTCTGCTGGGGTTGGGGCCCCACCGGGCCAATCACATGGCTCCGTTGTAGATCTGGGACTCAAGATCGTGGGCTCGTGGCATCAAATGCATGAAATAGCATGAAATTCATGTTTGTGCTAGGTATAAAATGGAAGGATGTCAGATCTGATAAGTCCGGGGTTTCCCAAGTTTCTTTCGGGCAGACAAACATCTTCCGAAGGCAGCCACGACCGGTCTTTACCATTTACCATCTACCATCGTGCCTTCCCTCTGTCACTTCTCCTTCTCCTTCTACTTCTGCCTCCTCTTCTGCTTCCTCCTCTTCCATCTCTCCTCCACGCATCCTCTCTTCTCTCTTCTTTCATCATTCCCCCGCTTCACCTCACACTCGCCTTACTCTTTCAACGGCTTTCCATATCCCAATCGATCTCTCAATATCTTTAGACCCCCCGGTCCAATCTCCAACCAAGAATGGCTCCACGTGGTCGTGGTCGTGGGAAATTTGTCCATCCCGATGGCCATCCCAATGCAACTTCCAGTCAATCCAAGTCCCCTGGTTTTCCTGCGAATCCGGCAATTCGAAACTATTTCGCACCCCCCAACCTGCCAGACGGGGTTCCCCTTCCGCGTGGACAAACGGAGGACTGGCGCAAAAAGTCCGAGCTTCCTACTACGGAAGAGATTCTAGGATTGAATGACGGTTCGAGTGATATTCTGTTGCTTCCAAATCATATATTTGGTCCCTGGCCTTCGACGGAGCTTTATCTCAACGCTCACTACAACTTGATCCGCGAAGATGCCGTCGCTAATCTCCGAGATGCAGTGCTTTACGTTCGAACCTATCCGCGCATGGGCGACAACGGTAACATTGCAATCTACGAGAAGGTCATATCTGGATTTTTCTAAGTGTTTATAATTGTCATTTGGCTGACCGACCTTGAACAGGTTTTCATTGTGCAAGTGACACTAACAACCTCGGGAATTGCTTTCCGCGTTCAATTCTCCACACGTCGCGCCGGCAAAAGAATACATTGGAAATACTCCAGTCGCCTTATTACCGGGAACATCGTCGCTTTATCCCCGGTGAAAGACTCTTTTTTCAACAAAGTGCATTGTGGGTGTTGTTGCGGCGAGACCGGTCGACAACCTTGAAAAAACCCCGCCAGAGGTAGATATTTATTTTGCTCATCCAGAGGATATCAAGTTCGACCCCCAGCAAGAATGGATTATGGTACAAGCACGATCGGGGTATTACGAGGCTCACCGACATACTATGAAAGCCTTACAGAAGCTGTCACAAGAACAGTGAGCCTTCGCCCCCGGCACATCTTCAATGAATAGATCTAACTTGATCCGATTCCCACTAGATTCCCACTCAAGCAACATATATGCGCCTTGAAAACCGACATTGGTGCACCTCAATATGTCTTGGACAAGCCAGTGATAAACTTCCAAGCTCTCTCTCCGCCTACCACCGATGGTAATACGAGTTTCAACATCCTCAAGGATTTTCCTGCCACTCCGATGGCAGGACTCAATCCTCATCAGTGGCAAGCTCTAGAGCATATGCTGTCAAGAAATATCTCTATCATACAGGGCCCCCCCAGGTACTGGCAAGACATTTGTGTCAATCATCTTCTTGAAGCTCCTTTTGTCGCAGATGACCCCAAACGATCCTCCCATCATCATTGCGACACATACAAATCATGCACTGGATCAAATTCTCAGCATCATCGCTCAATTTGAGGATAATTTTATCCGATTGGGGTCAAGAAGCATAGATCCCGATATTCGGAAGCGAATGCTCTACGAGATGAAGAAGTCTCTACCAATGCCTACCATAACCGGTGGACTTTTCAGCCCAGCAAGAAATGATCTTCAAAGGCTTTCCGCACAAGTAGCAGAGCTTCTCACGCCGTTCGACCAAGAGGGTATTCATGGCCCAATCAAGGCATCCACATTTGCCGACTATGGCCTGTTAACACAAAGTCAATGCGATTCACTCATGGACCTCGAACGGTGGGGATCATCTGCACCCGCGGGAAATGATACAAATCATATTGCAGCGTGGCTCGATGATCAGGTGAAAGAGCTAAATCTCAATCACTGGATCGAAGAAATTGTGTTCACTGAAGATGATATCGACATAGAGTACGAGCAGCTCAAAGAGCTCGAAGCAGAACAGGGACCAAACGAGGATGAATACGAGACTCTCAATGGTAGATCTCTTCAATTCAGGACCACACATCGGGGAGTTGAAGACTCATCGTACTCAAAACAAGAGATCCGACATTATCTCTCGATGAGTGATCTGATGAAGATTCCCGTGAAAGCACGAGGGCCTGTGTACAATCTGCTGCGGGATGAGCTTCTGGATCTGGTGAATGCTAAATTGCGTACTGTTGCGAAGTCATACAACTTCTACAGTGACAGACTTAAGGTCGGTAGGTGGGAGCGAGACTTCGAGATCCTGCGGAAAGCCAAGCTAGTAGCCATGACAACGACTGGGCTGAGCAAGTATCGTGGGCTTGTATCAAGCTTGAAACCTCGAACTGTACTAATCGAAGAAGCCGCCGAAGTCCTAGAAGCTCCAACCACTGTTTCATGCTTTGAATCTATCCAGCAGCTGATTCTTGTGGGTGACCATATGCAACTAAAAGCGAAGTGTACGTTGATGGATCTTGCCGGGGAGCCCTTCTTCCTAGAAACTTCCATGTTCGAACGCTTGGTCCGAAACGATATAGCTTACGTGCAGCTTCGGGAACAACGAAGAATGGTCCCCGATATTAGAGAGCTTCTGATGCCTATCTATGGCAGTCTGTATGATCATCCCTCTGTGCTCAAAACTACCCCCATCCCGGGAATGGGTGATCTTCGGTCGTTCTTCTTCACGCATGAGTGGCCTGAAAGCGGAGACAGTCTCACTTCTAAGCTCAACGAATGGGAAGCCATCATGGTTGTGGAGTTCTATGTCTATTTGGTGCTTAATGGAATTTCGATATTCGACATGACCGTTCTGACGTTTTACAACGGCCAGAGGAAGTTGATTCTCAAGCATATGAGGACAAATAAGTACCTCGTTAATCATACACCCAAAGTTGTCACGGTCGACTCTTATCAAGGAGAGGAAAACGAAATTATTCTACTCTCGCTCGTTCGGAGCAACAAGAGTAATGGAATCGGGTTTCTCGCCGCCGACAATCGAGTGTGCGTTGCAATCTCTCGGGCAAAAAGAGGCCTTTACATGTTCGGGAATTCTGAGACACTGGAGCAATTCAGTCCTCTTTGGAACAGCATCATTTCGATTCTTAGATCTCCAAATGGCGATCCACGTATTAGCGGCATCCTTCCCCTGACCTGCAAGAAGCACAAAAATGAAACCTTGATTCGGGGTCAGTATCAAGAAATATTTCCTTTCGGTCTTGTTTGTTAACTTTTGACTCGGTATTTAGTGCCCGGAGATTGGAAAACGATCAAAGGGGGCTGCAGGGAAGCTTGCGGAGAGGAACTCGGCTGTGGGCACAAATGCACGCTTTTATGCCACGGGTAAGTTGGGCATCTATAACAAAATGTTATCTTTCACATGAGTTTGAGTTATCTGACGTGGGTAACTAGCTTCGACCATTCACTGGAATGGACTACTTGTCAGCAATCATGCACCCATGTGCAAAAGTGCTGCGAGTTGCCTTGCACAGAAATCTGTGGAAAATCTCATCATCACTCATGCGACTGCATGAACGACAAATTCAGCACAATGTCTATCATGGAAAATCCCCGGGTTGATCATAGGGCTGGAAAGCCCGGGCCCAATGGAGCTTCCGAGGCTGCACAAAGAGCCCGAAGGCAGGTCATCGCCATGGAAGGAGTGAGTTCATGGGGCCAATTCGTCAACAACGCCCGCGCCGGTAACATTGACAGAGCAAACATGGGTGTATTTCAAAGTGTGGGCTCTCAGGATGTTCAGGAGGGGCTCAAGCGAGCCACTGAAACGTACATTTCTCTAGCCTCGAGAAGGCCGAACCAAGAACCAGCTAGCAATGCTGCTAGCAAAGGTCTCGTTAATCCTTCCAAATCCGAGGATTCGCCTATCAACAAGCCCGCAGCACTGCCCCCTGCTGATTTGATCGAGTTTGAGCCCCCCACTGATCTGATCGATCTGGATTAGTCGGGATACTTGCGTCGCAGAATATGAGAGTTCGGCTGGGTGCGCCTGACATTTGGATTTAAAACCTGCCGTCTTTACCGTGAAGGAATGCTTCCATCGAGATTAAGTATCTAGCACCTCCATATCCCGAAAGCAGGAGAAGGAGAAGGAGGAGAAGGAAACCTCTATTTCTGGAAACAGCATTCATATTTTCAATTTACAACAATAGGGAGATCACATATTGCCAATAATTTCGTAGATTATATCATCAAATGTATGTCCAAGTCTTTCCAAGCACTAGTAGTATGTGTAAGTATTTCAACAAGAAGGCAAGGGGAATAGAAACGCTAAATCATAATCATATATTGCTCCAAACTATTCCCCAGACAATTAATAAACGGCCATTGGGTATTTCGTTTGAACAACCTGGACCACAGCTTTAGAACCGCCATGCCCAATGCCGGCGGCTCGAGGTTCAGCGGCGCTTCGGATTCGTCCTCGAGGTCAATAGATGAATAGGCCTCTTCAACAATACATTGGGTCCAGCGAAGAATCCGGCTTTCGTTTTCTGGTCATGGTAGTCAGTATATGGGCATCTGTAATTAAAGACCATCCCAAGAACTTACCACTCAGCGCCTGGTCTGGCCCCGCCTCTGCAAGGGTGAAAAGCCACTTGCTCAGCAGGACCGCGCATTCCAAGCTTGCGAGAGAATGGCGCACACTCCAGAAAAAGGCCTGACTGCGTGCAATATGATCAATTCCCAGGCGCACTGGAATGCTGAGGGCGTGTGCAGCATATATAAGGGCCGGGATGAGACGGTAGCTTCGCTCCGGCTTTGGAGAGCGATACAGGGCATCGGCAATGGTAGCTGGGTCGCGCGTTTCGAGGCGGCGGTACGGACCGAGATTAAGAGATAGGCGTACATAAGCAAGTCCTAGGAGCGAACTTGAAGTAAAGGGGATAGGTCCATTATCATTGTGTGGGTCGAGGCTTGACTCTGGAGCTTGTTGCCAGACACTAGTCCAGGAGCGGAGGGCTCGCCTGAGTGGATTGTCAGTATATTTGCTGTAAATTATTCCAGTGAGAATGGCAGCCTTACTCAATCTTGTTTAGTTCTTCGGTCGGCAGGCCGGTCGAATGAAGCCCGTTCGGCAAGGAAAGTTCGCTGACAATGTGAATTCGCTGAAGCAGGCCATGGAGCAGCATGTAATTGCCCAACGGAGCGGGGATAGGCTCCAATGGTACTGCCGAGCGCGACTTTTGAAGCAAAAGCGTCAACGCATCTTGGAAGAACAACTGTTGAGGACCACGGGCTTGCTGGGCAGCTTCCCATTCGACTGCATTGTTCGCTATCCATTCGATCGTCGAGCAGGGAAGTCGCATGTGGATTTCGCTGCTGCGTAGCGATGGATAGACATTGTATGCCAGACTGTGAATATGAATGAAGCAGAAAGCGATAAGCTTAGTCCGTCGAATGGACTCTTGGTCTGCCCACTCATACCAGTCCAGTGGTTGACCACGCGCATCAGAATATGGCTCCGTCAAGCCAACGTCACGAAGATGCTGAACCAGCTGACCTTGAATCTGGAATGCCTCCTGGACAAGCCCTGCACGCTCCCATGTAGCATAACTCATGAGGACGAGTAAACAACGAACCACCTCCATCTTCCGTGAAGCGGGGGTGCCCCCGCTGCCCCTGATTGATTCTGATCTCCATATTGGGATGCCATCGGGTAGCCCGACTGGGATTCTCTGTTCATGCGTTCGTAAAGGACTGCCTTGGAAACATGAAATATTTTCTCTGCATTGCGATGTTCAAAGCGATACTGGGCACCGATAGTCATCATCGCGAGAACTAATTCGGCAGAGCACTCGCTAAAGCGAAAAGTTGGTATATGAATGAACGGAATGTGGGGATGGAATCCCTCAAAGTAGGACGTGAGGTAGCGAGTTAGAGTGTGTCGAGAAGGAAGGGTGAAATCTGGTATGACGTTTCGAAAGTCCTCGAGAGATGCAGCGAGTCGGAAGCGTTGATCCTCTGAAATATTGAATCGAGAGACTTTGCCGGTGGCTTGCGGTGGCTCTAAAGATTCCATGAGACACGGTTCTTGTCACAATAACATTCAATATAGAGCAAGACTTACCGCTATCAGAGAGAGTACCTAGGCTTTGATCCCCACGGGGTACCGAGGGTAGCCATGATCGAAAAGGGGAATCTCCTCTCGAGCCATCGCGAATACTTCTCGGTCGCTTTGGCTGTTCCTGAGAGGGGGGGTATTGGTTTCTGGACATCCTCAATGCCAATGTCTTGCATCTGAGAGGGATCTGCTTCAAAGGGCAGCCATTCGGCCGGGAGACCAATGGAGTCCAGAAAATGGGTAAATTCTTGGAAATGGTTGAGATCCTCGGGCAGATAGGGCAACGCTAGGCAGCAGTTATTTAGTAAAGAGATACACATTGGGCTCCTAGCACTCTGTACTCACAAGATGCTTGATAGTCGCCCGGGAGGAGCAGCTGAGCGGCCTGCAGCATGGCAGGATCATGCATTCCAGGATGTCCCTCCGGGTTGGGATTCGCATTGGGAGTTGGGCCTACGGGCATTATGGGGGGGCTGGCTCTGGGGTAAGTATGAAGGCTGAGGTGGCGGCGGCCCTGTCCATTGAGGCGGCGGTGGCTGCTGCTGTTGCTGCTGTTGCTGCGGTATCGATGCAGGTCGGGCTGATGCATCATATTGCGGCGGCGGGATGGCTGCAGGAGCCGGTGGGGGTTGGACTGCGACTGGGACAGGGACTGCTGAGGCCGAGGCCGAGGCCGAGGATTGGAGACCGGACTGGGAGTCTGGCGAGGTGAATCCATCCTGATGTGAGATGCGATTGTGTCTCTTCAATAGATCACGCCTAGTAAAAGCCGCCCCACAGAAGCAGATGAACGGTTTCTCCTTAGTGTCTGAAGATGATGGTCAGCCACCTCCACGGTAGTATTACCCCAACACGCCAGGCCACTTACGAGTTCGGACATGGCGCTCCAAATGTTCGGTGCGACGAAAAGCTCTACCGCAATGGACACATATCCGTGCCTTTGCGCGGCCTGACTGGACTGGGGATGGCATGGCTCGGAGTCACTTGGAGAAGAGGAGAAAGTGGAGGGCGGCCGAAGTGAGGAGTCGCCCCCAAGCGGTGACTCCAACGGGAGGCCCACTCTTATCTCTCTCTCCCCTTCTCTCTGTCCCATGGATACTCGTAGCTACAGCTATAGGAATAGCTTCCACTTCCTGCTGTCTTCTCATTGTTCTTCTTCCATTGACCAGCTGATAGAATGTCCCTGCTCAAGTCAATCTTCCCTGGCGTCGCCGTCGTCACAGGTGCCGGTGGAACCGGTATGTCATACCTCTAGTTCTGCTCCGTATACGGAGACAATACCTGATCCACAGTTCCACTCACATCATACTACTCAAATATAGGAATCGGTGCTGCAGTTGCCAGGGCTTTTGCCGCTGCAGGATGTGAAAGAATCGCCATCACAGATGTCAATCCATCCACCCTAGAGCAGACCCGACACGCAGTCGCCTCCACTTATCCCAAGGTACAGCTCCTCGCCCACGCGGGCAGTGTCGCCGAGGATCTCTTTGCACAGTCGTTCATCGATCAAGTCGTACAAAAGTTCGGCCGTGTCGACTATGCTGTCAACTGTGCAGGTGTGCTGGGTCTGCCCAGGCGGTCAGATGAAACTAGCATTGAGGAATTCGACCGCGTCAATAATATCAATTATCGTGGTTGCTGGCTATCTTCCCGGGCTCAGCTGAAGCAGATGCTCGCCCAGGAGGCACTCCCAAGTCATGATTCCCGTCGCCCTCCCCAACGAGGTGCCGTCGTAAATATTGCCAGTCAGCTGGGGATCGTCAGCCGTCCAAATGCCCGTGAGTTTTAGTCCATTGTTTTGTTCCCCTGTTGAGATATATATCTTACTTTTAAATTCTCCGAATTAGCGGCATATTGTGCATCAAAATCAGCCATCATTGGTCTGACGCGTGCTGATGCAATCGATTACTCCAAAGATGGGATCCGTGTGAACTGCGTATGTCCCGGAGTCATCGAGACGCCTCTAGTGATGGAGAATAAGGAAGTGCGTGAAGCCATCACTCCAGCCGTAGAAACTGCTCCCATGAAAAGGATGGGGATGCCGCAAGAAGTGGCCGATGCAGCCCTATTTCTTTGTTCAACGCAGGCTTCATTCGTTCAAGGTCATGCGATGGTAGTGGATGGCGGATATATAACAGTGTAAATATTATTGGAAGAACTTTCAAAGTGACGTTGGAATAACACCCGTACGATTTGTACCAACTAGTAGTTACTACTTTATAAGTGCCGAGAGCACTAACCAGTAGCTATTATGAAATGCACTTATTTTCAACTTGAAATGAAAATACATCCACGGATCTTACTAGTACCTAGGTAGTCTATCTAAAGAGGGCTAAGGTTAGTAAAAGACTACGGTTCATTCAAGTTTTAAGTTTCCCGAGGTCGAAATCAATTCATAATATGTCTATCCATGGATTCATCTGCTATCTACATACTCGCTTCAAAGGTCGCTGGTTCTTAACTGTCGAATGCTGCACCTTCTTCCAATCAAAATTGGTCTCCCATGCATGTCCAACTTGCAATATTTTCTCTTCTTGCCACAACCCGCCAACAATCTGCATACCAACAGGCAACATAACCTGCTCATTGTCCTTAGCTGGCGCGAACCCGACAGGAATGGACATGGCAGGATGGCCCGTAACATTGAATACGGCAGTATTAATCGTCAATCCCATGCTGGGCTTGAGTGACTCCAATGGAAGACCCCGTTTTCCATTCTTCGGTGCCACAACAGGAGTCGTGGGCATCACCAAAGCATCATATTTTTCAAAAAGCGCTTGGTACTTGTCGCTTACTTGCCGTCCAATGTTCACTGTCTTTCCATAAATATTTGGGAAGCGTGACATCAGGTATAAGCCGTTGATAATGACGTTCTTCGTTGATGGGAAGGCTCGCTGGAAGCCTTCATCAGTCCAAGGGAGCCTGCTTTGCTCCGCTTCTGTCATGCATAGGCCCCGTCGCCCAGTATTATGACCCAGAAGTGTCTGTGCTCCAGCTATCCTTGATAGAATAGTCCATAGTGCCGGACCATGTAAGTGGTCTGGAAGCGATACTTCCTCAACGATGGCGCCAAGGTCTTCGAATTTCCTGGCGGCGATTGAGACTGATTCTCTGACGTTGGAATCCACAGCGCTATGTTCGAAGCCTTCTTTTAAAATTCCAATTCTTTGACCATCAAGTCTTCCAGGGGTCTCTTCAATCGCGGCTGCAAATTTAGTAGATCCTGGCTTCGGGCTTGCCAGTGAGCGATCGTCGATACCATCATAGCCACTAATTGCATCTAAACATGCCGCAACTTCGCGGGTAGTGCGGGCGAGCGGACCGGCATGGTCAACTAAGGCATCTCCGCTAGATATGCCAGTATAAGGAACTCGGCCATGAGTAGGCTTCAGTCCAACACCTGGAATGGAGTTAGTTAGGTTTGTTAATGATGATTTGATGATGACTTACATCCACACAGGGCTGCAGGGACGCGAATGCTTCCACCCTGATCCCCTCCAATCGTAACATCAACCAAGCCCGCAGAAACTAAAGCTGCACCGCCAGAAGTGCTCCCTCCCGCTGAGTATCCCGTTGCATGGGGATTCTCAACTGTACCCTGGGCACTCGTATATGAGGACGTGGAATGGCAATAATTCTCGCAAGTAGAGGTTCCATGAATGTCCGCACCCGCGTCGAGGAGCCGCGTCACCACTGTTGCGTCGGTTGAAGGCGTCCATGCCGGTGTGATATCGCTTCCAAGAAGTTGTGGCACTCCGGCCACAGCAATTACATCCTTCAAGCTCACGGATTTACCCGCCATGACGCCGCCTTGCGGATTTCCCCTGATGAGGAACTTATGCGACCATGCCTGTCCAAAGACCTGCTCTTCTTCTCCACACCGACGGACATTTTCACGCGGATATTTCGCCGTGTCAGACACTGGCTGATAGTCGGGTAGTGCAGCCACATCCTCTGCGCAATCGTGGACCGCCGCGAGAAGGGTCTGGAAATCGCTCGACTCTTTGGGATCGATGGTCAGACCCAGAGGCTGAATCAGGGCTTCAGCATCGCCGGGCTTAACAGGATTACCCCTGGATTCGCGTGGTCAGTAAATATGCCATGGAAATCACGTCACCAACGTTGGGTTTCCCACTCACTCGGAGATGCTTGTGAAAAGGACCGACATGCTGAAATGTGGCAAAGGTACGCGACTACTCTAACTATCGCGTCGCTGGGGAGTTGAAGATTTTATGACAGTGCATCATGCCATAATTTCTCGAAACTCATCGGCAATTCCCCCGACTCAAGATCCATCCATTTGGAGACCCTTCTTTGCCGACGAGCCCATCAATGTCGTGAAAAATAGACCATTTATTTGACCCCAACTCGACCCCAACTCCCTGGATCCACCACAGACCTCCATATATCTCGGAGCGAGGTAAGAGAGATGGGAAATTAGGATAGCATGTGTTTAAGTGTTGATAGCAAGGATAAGATTACACATTTTCTCGACAAAAAAAGTCGGTTCGTATCGGACGTCGATCGATGATATTGGCGACTCCGACGGCCCCAACGCTCCGAGAAGGCAAGAGGGGTTTGGTCTTCCCCGCATTCAAAAAGCGTTCAACTTTCGTAACACAATTTGAAGAAGACACTAGACACGTACAAAAGCCCCGCGCGACACTCACTCCCATTCCCAACCCTCCCATTACCAATTAATCAGACACAATGGGCCCTAAACGCGTTCTCATCACATATGGCGTCGACGTCGACGCTGTCTCCGGGTGGCTCGGCTCGTATGGCGGCGAGGACTCGACGAACGACATTAGCCGGGGTGAGTTTTGAGCCGACACCGGCTGTGTACTCTGATTCTGACCTTGATTTTGCTAGGCCTCTGGGCGGGAACAGTTGGAACTCGGCGTCTCCTCAAGTTATTCGACAAGTACGATATCAAGACGACATGGTTTATTCCCGGTCACTCGTTGGAAACTTTCCCCGAAGACATGGCGGCGGTCCGCGATGCTGGTCACGAAATCGGACTCCATGGATACTCGCACGAGAACCCGACTGATATGAGCATTGAACAACAACGTGATGTTTTGGATAAGACCTATCGTATGCTCACCGAGTTTGCGGGTAAACCGCCGCGGGGTAGTGTGGCACCTTGGTAGGTTACCGTCGGCCTAGAAATATTCATGATAAGCGACGCTAATGAAGTCTTCAATCAGGTGGGAGACGAGTCAAGAAGGTGCTCAGCTACTTCTGGACTATGGTATCGAGTACGATCACAGCATGAGTCATGAGGACTGCCAGGCATACTATCTGCGCACTGGCGACAGTTGGACGAACATCGACTATAGCAAGAAGGCGGAGACTTGGATGAAGCCTCTGGAGCATGGACCGCAGACGGGATTAGTTGAGATTCCCTCGAACTGGTACATTGATGACCTGCCGCCTATGATGTTCATCAAGAAAGCGCCAAACAGTCACGGGTTCGTCAACCCGCGAGATGTGGAGGATATCTGGCGGGACCATTTCGACTATTTCTACCGCGAGTACGACGAGTTCATCTTTCCCATTACCATTCATCCGGATGTGTCTGGGCGACCACATGTGCTGTTGATGCATGAACGGTACGTCTGCCTTATCTTCTGCTGCGCTTGTTCAAAGCTAATATGAAAAAGTCTGATCGAACACTTCAAGAAACACGACGGGGTGGAGTTCGTCACGATGGAG